CTCTCATTCACATTAAAAAAACACCACCTCGCAAAGTCTAAAATCTGGGATAATTTATCCGACTCGCGAGCATCCGTGAACCACGATCTATATCAGGGAGACTTGGGATGTCTGAGTATATGATCACACATCACACCCTTACACTCTGTGTTACCCATAATTCCAAGTCGTAGTGTGAAAAATAAAAAACTCAAATACATTGTTCTTTTAAGATCTTTATTGCGGTTTGAAACATATGAGTTTATTTTTTACCAACCGTCTAATAAACTTTACACAGTTATTAGCAAAAATGAAAAGTACCACTGTCTGCTTTGCTATTGGTGTCGTGTTTAAACGGCTCACCATCATGTTGAAATCTGGCATGTGTTGCGGTATAAATACGGTCCGGTGTGATTGGTCACTTCAGTATCAGGTGGGCTTAAGAGAAATTTTTTCACACCATCACATCTGCAAAGAGAAATCCTAGTCTACAGTTGCATAAGGGACCCACAAGGTGTCAGTAATGGGGCCCCTAAGAGGTTGTGGGCCTGGAAGCAAATGCTGTCTCTGCTTACTGATATTTACACCATTGCTCCAACGTAAAGTTGGCCTAATGATTTGTTTTAAAAGAGTATACTTTCATGTAAAATGCCACTCTCTTCGACAACTTGTATGACAGATACTTGGTTTATTTAGAGGTCCAGTGCATTATTTATAATTCTTAAGGTGTTGCTTTGTATTTTATGTAACCAGAACATGTATTTTTAGAATAATTTATTTATTTGAGCATATATTAGTTTAATTTTCTTGATATAAAAAATGCACATGCTGTCAGGCACCATGCTGTTACTTACCGTTGGAAATCCCTTAATCACCTCTTGGCCACCCCAGTAAAAATGTTGCAGAACCATCAATGACAGGATGTAATCAACTGGCTTTACTTGACAGTAACTTTTAACCAATCTGACTGTATTGTCTCTGTAAAGTGCCTTGAGATAGATCATGCTGCTATAGGCTTAGACTGCTGGAGGATATAGGGACCCCTTTTTCATCATTCTGCTTCATTCTATCTCTTTTCTCCCATTCTGCAGCATTTGTTAGTTCAATCTCTAACACTATGCTAACACTATGATTCCATCCTGGAGAGAAATATAAGCTGTGCCAATCAACACCTTTGTTTATAGATGTTGGATATTGGAAATCGGCCTGTTTTTCAGTGTAGTCCTGTTTCTATGACTGTGACTGGCTGGATGTGCTCTCTTCATCCTCTGACATGGGAGCTGGCCCGGAGCTCGTCTGCCTGGCTGTATGTTTCCTGGACGTAGACGCCTGTGGAGCTGTTTTACAGTTTCCTTTTTTATCTCTGCTTCTTTTTCTGTCTCTGCTTCTGTCTTTTTGAATCCCAGTCGGCTTCTGCAGATGGTCGCTCACACTGAGCCTGGTTCTGCTGGAGGTTTCTATCGTTTAAAAAGGAGTTTGTTCTCTCCACTGTCGCTACAAGCTGTTAGGGTTTGGTTGAGGTTTGAGGACCCAAAGGCAGAGAGGCAGAGGTGAGTTTTTGTAGATTTAATGAGATGTTCACAAACAACTGAGGCAGAAATCCAAAAATCCAACATGAAAAATGTCAAACAACCAAAACCATGGAGAGATTAAGGGAAAACAATCATGAGGAGCCAGGGTAAGATGAAGTAAGATGAGGAACCAGCACTGAGGAACTGCACAAGGAGAGTATTTATGGGAGACTGAACAAAGAGGAGTAATGAGCTGATTGGGAGCAGGTGTGAACAGAGCAGACTGCAAAGGAGATAGGGAAAAGGAGACCAACACAAGAGGGCAACAGAGGGCAACAAATAAAAACCTCAAAACTGAAATATAACCAGAAAAAAACAACAAAATAGGAATCAAACCAATAAAACTAGAAAACATGGAGCAAAGTAAAACTGAATACTCAAAAGAAAACATAACAGAACCAACACTGTGACACAAGCTTGCTTAGCGTGAGGGATTGCCTTGAGTCAATGAGTCGATGCAATCAACTGGTTTTCCTAAGATAGAAAACTTTGAATAAATTTCACTGGAGGATCAGGTTGAATTGAAAAGTGCCTTGAGATGACGTGTTGTGAATTAGCACTATATAAATAAATTGAATTGAAATAGTTGCACTATATGAATAAACTGCATTCAATTAAATACACAATAAGAACATGAAATATGACTGTATGGCAGGGGTTTCCAACCCTGGTCCTGCATGTTTTATATGCATCCCTGCTTCAACACATCTGAATTAAATGGTTAGATGATTAGTTGTACCGTGGAGAACATGACTCAGATAATTCATTCATTTCTTTTAGGTGTGTTGATCAGGGACTTATCTAAATATTGCAGGATGCTGACTATCAGATCACACTTTTCCTATCTAGATAAAGGAGCATGGTTTATGGTTGTAGGCTCACCTGTTAAAGCTACAGTGTGTAATTTTCAGCGACATCTAACGTCCAGACTGCAGACCGCAGCAACATGAACATCTCCCGCCCACCGCTTCTCCCCCCCAACAGTACGGCGAGCGTTACGGGACATAATGTCTTCCACGACGTCCACATCACCTACCTTCTCAAGTGATGAGGTTTGTTTACATAGATAATTTTACAGATAGTATTTCATTAGTCTGTGTAGGGTATAAATTTCATGTAGACTTAAGATAATAAATATACCCGTTATTTTTTCTACATCATTGTGACGTTTTGGTGAGCTGCTTTGCATGGTGATATAAACAGACGAAGTAATTGTAGTCTTTAGTTTAACAGCGAGATTGTGTTCGCTGGAAGAATATATATTCCAGTGGCGGCTGGTGAAAAATATTTTTGGTGGGGCTGATATAGCCTAGTGTATGTCTCCAACTAATCCAGAATATGAATTCAAATAAACAATTGGACAATACATACAATTTAACAGTAATGATTTAATTTACTATATAATAACAGTAACAGTGATGATTTTGGTCACTGTGACGGGGTTCTTTGGCCTCCAAGAATCCAGGCTCAGTCGGGTTACCGGTGTTGGTGATTTATTGAGCTCAAAAACTCAAAACAGGGTGCAAAAGAAACTAAACATATACAAGATACTCTGGGCCTCAGCCTCCCTCCAGTTACCAGCAATGTAACAAAGAAACAGAAAACAAAAATTGCCGCTTTTCTTCCCACAGCCCTCATTAAATAGTTTAAGCCCCTCACCTCAGGCTCTCTTATTTCTGATTTCTTCTCATTAATCAGTTTTGTCCATATATTACCTCCACAAACAATTGATGTACAAAAACAAATAATTTTTACAACTTAATTCTTTTACACAGATTCATTGACTTATTCAATTACACCAAACTGGGTTTGAACCCAGCAATGACGCCGCCAGACTGAAGATGACAAGTCCCCGTAGCATAAACACGTACACACCCACACCCCCACATACCCACACACACGGCTAACCCCACTGAAATATTAAGTGTGCACCCTCAATACATCAGCAGGTAACCAGGAACAGCTTGTGTGTTTTAAGTTCATGGAGCTACTGGTCTCAGCGCGAGTGTATTGGTTCTCACAAACACAGTATAACAGGAATGTGTGTGTGGCGCGCAAAGTTAGAGAGGTTGTTTTAAGCGACGAGGTGGATTCGTCACAGTCACAATAATCATGACATGAAATGTTCATATCCTATAACAGGGATGTTCTTCTGGCAAACGGGTAGATAAATAAGGATCTCATTGAATTTGGTGGAAGCTGCATCTCGTTCGTTACATTCGCCATATTCTCTCTAATTGTCTGCACCTGCGCATTGGGGGCAGAAGCCTGTTAAAGCGCAGTATTTTCAGCGCCCCAAGACCATAAAGTTCTGAGACGCTGATTGGCCATTAAATTCACCTAGCAATAGTACATGATTGACAGATTCTCTGCAAATGTGGGGCTGTCTGATCAGCGCCCCCAGAACAGAGACGGTAGGAGTCTGTCAGTGGAAATCCACAAATTAATGACAGTAGATAGGGAAATGTAGTTTATATAATTTGTTTTGCTTATAGGTACACAGTCTAGAGAGTAAAACTGACATTTATGAGTTAATTTCTAAAAATATATTTTACGTTTCTCTCTTCTTATCAGGGAGGGCGGTGCCCCAGCGCCCCCTATGGACCGGCCGCCACTGATATATTCCCTGATTACAGAGTCCAAGTCTTGTTTGTAGCACGGGGGTTACAAGGCGAGGAAGAGGGAGAGGAAGAGGACGAGGAAGAGGGCAGAGAGGCCGGGGTGGGCGTGCAGCCAGGGCCAGGTGAGGGAGAGGTGCCAGCGGGGTGACTAGAGCAGAGGAGGAAAGGCTTGAAGATCTCCAAAGGAGCCGGAGAGAAGTAACCGAGGTATATATCCAAAAAATTATTTTACAGAAAATTACTGAATCAATACCTGTGAAACGTCAGGGACGTTGCTGAATAAGTATACTGGAGAGTAACAGCATCGTCACGCAGCATGTTATTGTAATGGTCGATCTCTCAATCGCTAGTTTGTTGGCTCTGCGCTGCCGTAGCGCAAAGATGTCTGCCTCCATGGCTGCGAGACCCGCTCCTATGTAATTAAAAATAACGAATTCTAAGGCAACGCAAATATTAAGGTTAAGAGGCTGAGCTCGTAGATGATGATAAATAACATAGTTATGTATAATATATTACATTTCTGACTGTATATCCCTGTAATTATTACACACTGTAGCTTTAATAAAGTTGGAATAGTTTCCATTTCAGCTGAAACATGTCTGTTTATTGGCATGCTTTATTTAATTAATGTATTATATTCTATATGTTCAATGTACAGAGCAATACTTTATTTGTTTTGGTCGTTCAAGAGAAGAGACTCACAGAGAAGACAGCATTTGGTCTCTTTTTGTAGTCTGTTTCCCAGTGTGACAGCAGCATGGGGCGCGTGTCTCCAAGGAGCGAGTCAGGCTCAGCTTGCTGTGCGCACATTGCTGAGAGCTGTCAGAGCTGTCGGGTTGCGGTCAGTCAGCAGCGAGAAGCCCCATGTGTGGCCCCTGTCCCCGTTACCGAGCAGAGCAGTGTCCGTCGCATTGATTTGGAGGGGAATGAGTGCTGACACATCCTGTCCGCGCAAACAGGCACGCGGCTGCTACTCCGCCTCACAGCGCGGGGCCAGCTGAGGAGCGCGCGGACTGATGCGTCTCTGGGGCAAGAGCGCATGACTTTCGCTCCGAGACCTGCTCGGCAGCAGCAGCCACAGCAACTGGACCACAGCTGGATATGTCGCTGCTGAAACAGCGGGGGAGAGAGCTCGAGCGCTTCGATGGACTGTCGCTCATTTACTGGTAGGTTCACTGAAGGATGGAAAGCTTTATTGGGAGTTCCCAGTTGGGGGGTTACTTCTGTTGGGGATGTACAACAGCAAGCCTGGGTGCAGTATTATTATTCTGCTGTCACCTAGAGGATGGTGAACAGGCAGGCATTTAAAACTGAATAAATAAAAAGAAAGAAAATCACAAATACCTATAATCCAATAAACATTTTGACTGTGATAGTAGTTTAAAATAAATCTCTACTGAATTCAAACAGTATTCAAGACCTTCAATCAATTATTATACTCAAAAAAGTATACCTAAGCAGTTAAATGCATCTATTTGGAAAACAGAACTAGATTTTTTTCAGTATTTGACCTGCCACCTCTCCTTTCTGGCTGACTGATTAATGCATCTCTAATTTAAAGTAAATATTATCAGGAAAAGTAATTGGACTGAGGTTACCACTAATAAACATTAGGCTCAAAGTTTTTCATTTCAGTTACATTGGAAAAAACTTGGAATTTAATTTAATTTCATTATTTACAAGACTGAAATACTGTAGGGGACATTTGGATATGTTAACAGAGGGCTGGAAGCCAAGCTGAAGCTTGCTGCATCTCAAGGCCACATCACAATTCATACAATCATTAGAAAGATCCCCAAATAACGTCAGTTAAATTGAGTCAAACTTGATTGATGGTGGAGGTAGGGCAGATTGGAGAGTTCAATTTGTGCTTGTGTTTTGTCCCTTGGGGAGGAGACTGTCAGCTAAATGTAGGTGCTGAGTGGACAGTTGAAGCTAGGTCGGCCAGGAGTGCTTAAAGGCAAGCTGGAGGGACGGAAAACCATTGCTGGGTGACCCCTTCTCTGTAGAACTCCCGTCTGCTTTCAGCATTATCTCTGCTCGCTAACAGAACCCTACAATAAAGCCACCCTAATGATTCTCTCCTCCAAGAAGTTACCCGAGCTTTGGGACTACTTTCTAATTTATGTCACGGGAGCCCTTGAGTTTAATCCTGATTGCAAAGACATAGACCTGGGTCTGTTTCCTCTACGGATGAATCCAACCATAAAGCCAAGGTAGGCGCCATCAAAAGAAAAGTCATGTTTAAAGACAGAGGAGTGAATTTCTGGCATGGCTGAAGTTTATTCAGTCAAGCAAGAAAATCAAACTGGCATTAAGAGGTTTAAAGCGTGGTGTGATATCAACAATAATGTCATGAAGAAGAGTTGTGTGCATTACGTTCTTTAATACATTGTTTTCCGAATTAAAAAGTGACTATGTTTGTGAGGCTGGGCATGCAAGAGACTATTTAAGCGCTTACAGGGATGGTTTGGTGACGTTATTCATTCTATGCTGTTAAATTACTATCTGTCTGTATCTATAATATTCATCCAGAGGTGATTTCTATTCCATTTTGTTTTATCCTCTCAGCCATGAAGACCTATAGGTTTTTGGCAAAGAGGTGTTTGTAAGTGTGAGTCTGATCTCAGGTTTCTTGCTGGCAATATAAGTTTAGGTAGGACTTTAGCTCCAATTAAGATAAACAATTAGGGCTGCAGCTAACGATTATTTTGCAAATCGATTAATCTTGTGTTCATTTTTGATTAATCGATTAATAATCGGATAGACAAAGGTTCCTTAAGGAAGATTTTTTACAAAATTAAACAAGGTGAAACTAAAACTTTTCCACTTGATGAGCTCTTGATAAAGCATACGGACAGACAAAAAAGATTTTTTTATCTTAAATGCAAAATACTATATATATATATATATATATATATATATATATATATATATATATATATATATATATATATATATATTTTTTTTTTTTTTTTTTTTTTACAGTTTTGATATAATCATGAAGTAGGTTGCTTTGTCAGCTAAAGGCATGTTTTGTAGTGTACACCAGTTAACTATTAACTAATTAAAAAATGAGTGGACGTTTATAATCGATTAATCATGATTAATCCGACTGTTTCAGCCCTACAAACAATAAAACTGAATCATACATAGTTTACATATCATCCGTCTCATAAACTGTGATGAACATACAGGTTACTATATTTGGTTTAAATTAATTACAACTAGGTTTTATGTGTTCTTATTAAGGAACACCCAGACACATCCCCCCCAACACACAGAAACTTCTCTCACTATCGTTGTGGGGCCTTTCCTTTAACTTCCGTTAAATTCTACATCCTAACCGTGACCCCCACTCTAACCCTAAGTTCAGAGGAACCAAATTAAATATACAAGATACTTAATAACTTACCTAAGCTGAGTAGGGTGGGCGACAGTGGCGTCGGATGAAGGAGTTTGCCCTACAACCGGAGGGTTGTCGATTCAAGCCCTAGAGTCAGTGCTGTTGTGTCCTTGGGCAAGACACCTCATCTTCATTACCTTCTGGTGGTGGTCGGAGGACTGCCAGTGTACGGCAGTGTACGGCAGTCTTGCTTCTGTCAGTGAGCCCCAGTGCAGCTGTGGCTACAATGGCTACCGTCAGTGTGTGAGTGTGTGTGTGAATGACTGATTGTAGTGTAAAGAGCTTTGATCAAGTCCTGTGACTTGAAAAAATGCTATATAGGTACAGGCCATTTTACCATTTAGATTGTTTATTCCTAACCATAATGTCAGTGCACTTCTTAACACACTTAATCAGCCTTAATATGGCCTATATCAATAACTTAATCCAACGTAGGAGATTTCCCTACTATCGAAGCCCTGAGATGACTCAAAGATCTTACTTATTTAAATGCATTTAAACTTCATCTATACTTGCCACCAGGTGTGCTTCTCCCTGCACCTGAAAAGATCCATTGATACACCTCCATTTAAGCAGTAAACAGTTTTCCCCTTTGATATTTCGGTTACAACAAACAATGGAAGGCTGTATTGACATTTATTAGTTTGAATGAATATGTATTTCAATCTTTAACAACATTTTTCCAATCTAAAGTGGAAATTTCAGATTTCTTGAATATATTTCCTTACAGTAGAAATCATGTCAGTTTTCCCTTTAGGATTTTACTTTTAGATATCAAAAATGACATTCCATTTCTACTTTTCATATAATCAGTAGTGGATATATGTAAAGATATTTCTACTGATAGAAATATATTGTTGATGAATAGACATTGGGATTTCTAGAATTATTTATTTTCGATGTCTAAAGCAAGTCAGTATGACTAGTATTAACTGGATTATCGGGATCGGAATTTAGATTTCATCCTCGCCACAAATCATGAATGCTTTGTTTAGATTGGAAGAAAGTCATTTAAGAAGTCAATTCGGTTTATTTATATAGCGCCAATTCACAACACATGTATAAACAAAGGTGTTGATGGCAGCAGCACAGCTGATATTTCTCTCCAGGATGGAGTCACAGCCAAACAGGAACAGACCAGATGAAGCTACTATGAGAAAAAGCAGAGAGAGCAGAACGTTAGAGATTGAACTAACAGATTCTGCAGAGTGGGAGAATAGAGATAGAATGAAGCAGAATGATGAAAAAGGGGTCCCTATGTCCTCCAGCAGTCTAAGCCTATAGCAGCATAACTATAGAGATAGCTCAGGATAACCTGAGCCACTCTAACTAGAAGCTTTATCAAAAAGGAAAGTTTTAAGTCTAGCCTTAAAAGTAGACAGGGTGTCTGCCTCACGGACTAAAACTGGTAGTTGGTTCCACAGGAGAGGAGCCTGATAATTAAAAGATCTTCCTCCCATTCTACTTTTAGAAATTCTAGGAACCACTAGTAAACCTGCAGATTGAGAGCGAAGTGCTCTGTTAGGAACATAAGGAACAATCAGATCTCTGATATCAGATGGAGCTTGGCCATTTAAGGCTTTATATGTGAGAAGGAGGATTTTAAATTCTATTCTGGATTTAACAGGAAGCCAATGAAGAGAAGCCAGGATAGGCGAGATATGATCTCTCTTTTTCATTTTCATCAGAACTCTGGCTGCAGCATTTTGGATCAGCTAAAAACTTTTAACCACAATTTGTGGACTTCCTGATAGTAAAGAATTACTCTCAGGAAATAAAAGCCCAATACACATAAATGGGGGAAGGGTTGCCATTTGTACTACTAAGGATTATGTTCCTTTACTACTAAGGAAGTTTATTTTAGATAGAAAGAAAATTTATGCTGGAAAGGGTAATTTTGACCTGGAAGATATGTGTTTCACATATAAGAAAACATAAAGTCAAATTGATAAATGTCAAAATGGCCAATTGAAATGTGTAAAAAATTCTACGAATCTGAATCTTAAAGGTATACAGGTGCTGGTCATAAAATTAGAATATCATGAAAAAGTAGATTGATTTCAGTAATTCCATTTAAAAAGTGAAACTTGTATATTATATTAATACATTACATACAAACTCATATATTTCAGATGTTTATTTTGTTTAATTTTGATGATTACAAATGACAACAAATGAAAATCTCAAATTCATCATATCAGAAAATTAGAATATTACTGAAGACCAATAAAAACAAAGGATTTATAGAAATGTTGGCCAACTGAAAAGTATGAACATGAAAAGTATGAGCATGTACAGCACTCAGTATTTAGTTGGGCCTCCTTTGGCCTGTATTACTGCAGCAATGCGGCGTGGCATGGAGTCGATCAGTCTGTGGCACTGCTCAGGTGTTATGATAGCCCAGGTTGCTCTAATAGTGGCTTTTAGCTCTTCTGAATTGTTGGGTCTGGTGTATTGCATCTTCTTCTTCACAATACCCCATAGATTTTCTATGGGGTTAAGGTCAGGAGAGTTTGCTGGCCAATTAAGAACAGGGATACCATGGTCCTTCAACCAGGTACTGGTAGCTTTGGCACTGTGTGCAGGTGCCAAGTCGTGTTGGAAAATGAAATCTGCATCTCCAAAAAGTTGGTCAGCTGCAGGAAGCATGAAGTGCTCTAAAACTTCCTGGTATGTGGCTGCGTTGACCCTGGACCTCAGAAAACACAATGGACCAACACCAGCAGATGACATGGCACCCCAAACCATCACTGACTGTGG